AGTTGTGCATCTTGGTCGTCAGGCTTCAAATCGCTTCAAATTGGTGCAACTCCGTGTTCAAGACATTACCGTGGTCCAAGACAAGCTACAGGAAATGGTTGAGTACACGCGTAAAGCACTCCCTGTTCAGACTGATCTGAACGACATTGTCGAGTAGAAACGTGAGTACGCAAACGAGCTCGCTTCAAAGTTGTCCTTACCAAACCCAGGTGACATGTCTACATTCCTGGTCTATCGGTTCTCCTGGAAGAATGCTGCAAGGAACTGAAAGAAAAGTCATACAAGCCACTCCATGTTGCACTCCCATCAATGGCAACACTTTTTAGTCGATAAAATGTTTGCATCGCGTGTACGATGTCGCTGCATTCACAACAGAACATCATACAGTTAGTTAATCTCTCACCTCGAAAGTTAATGTCGCAATAAGCAACAATAACACCTCGATAACGTTGTGGTAAGCAACATTATTGAGTGTATGCAGCTTGACCTTGAAAATGGATCCAAGTCAGCCGTCACCCAGACAGCAAGTGTTGTGTCTTCTGCCGAGCTTGGTGTGCAAATGAGATCGACAATATCTGATGTATGATTCCCGGATATCGCAGCTTGTCTGCTTCGGAAGTAGTCTAGAGCTGCCTACAACGAGATAACTATGTCTTCGGGAATGATGTAGCTGTAGGTGTATGAAGAAGCCACTTGCCTTTTTACTTCTCTTACTCGTCTTGACCTCCCCCTCAATGTCTTCTCGTTCATGGTGCAAGGATACTTCAGAATGATGTCTGTAACAGCATCCATCCGTGTGTGGAGAGGCCATTGATTGACTTCGGTCATTGTGGTAGTCAAGCCGGTTGGATAATTCGACGACGACATATCTAGGGATAGATACAACGGATGATCAGGTTTGTCTTTTGTCTTCCTTGTCTTGACTTGACCAGGACGCGGTATATTCAGCTGGATACCTCCATCATATTCATGATTGTACGGCTTTGAGCTGGTACGGTCGTGTTCCTGAGGCATGGAGACGCTTTCACTTCCTCCGGAATTCTCTATGATTCGCTGGGACCCACCCGAAATATCATTGTATCCTAGCGAAATCTGAGACAGGGATGCCTCTTCAAGTGCTGTATACGTCACCGGGGCAAATGTTAATAGAGCCATTTCCGCTGTTGTGACTTCGGTTGTTTTGCTAGTCAATGCATGTGTTGTTGGTGCATTTAACGTTGCTAATCTGATAACGCCTCAGAACCTTCCTGCACGATATCATCGATCGAAATATCTTGCCTCTCTTCTGTTTCGCCCATCAATTCCTGTGTGTCGGATTAGCCCGTAGCATTTATATCGTACGGCTCTTCATTTGAAATCAATACTAGATACCTCTTGTAAATGATTCAACACGGGCTCGCATATTGACTTTGCCAAGATATACTTTTCTTCGGAAGACAGTTCTACGACGTTGCCACTCTTTTTTCTAAAATGCGTACGAACGCGTAACCAGCTTTAGCTGGTACTTTAATCTTGGCATGAGTAACATTTAGCGTTGCACGGGACGTTGCGTTTGAACGAACTGCAGTCTTCAAGCTGATGCTGTCCATCGTAGTGTCAATAGAGGCAGCATCGTCTTAAAACAGCATATAGACCTTGGTAGCATCTGCCATGCGCCAACTAGACGAAATTGTAATGGTTGCGAGCTCCTCAAACCCGTGTCCATAATACCAGACAAACATAATATGCTGGCAGGGTAAACCTGAACTGACTGCAAAGGAACATGTGCAGCTCCTCTCGATATTGTGGCAAGAGTACTTAATCCTATACATAGCACGCAGAAGCAACGTTAGCAACAACCAGCAATAATATACGAATCTACAACAAACTCACCATCATTCTTCGCGCACAACTGCGTCACCGGCATGCGCTCGTCCACCGCATCTACGCTGTTGTCGTCCGCAGCCACCTCCTTTGCGGGCGGTGCGGTCGTGTCCACGCTCGGCGTACCATGCTCTGCATTATTCTTCAAATCTGTACGAAGCCTTCGTTAGAACTACCCGTATAATACAGTAACAGATATGACCTTACCAACAGCAGCTTGCTTTCCACCGTCGCCAGCGCGAGTGTACCGCACTCCTTCTCCTCCCGTGTAGTCGTCGCCGCTGCGTGTAGCTTCGTCGCGCGTCCCTGTCATTGCGTTTCCCCCGCTCTAAATTTTTGAAATATGAACGGCCCTACGGGTTCGTACATACTCGAACATCTACCGGTTTGATACCGGTAATTTCACCTAAGCTGACCTTTTTTGTTATTCTCTACTGTGTCGAAAATAGCAATGTTATGGACAGAACAGCTGCGACCATTAACGTTGTCCGAAGAAAATATTCCCTTTTACATTGAAACGAATCTGGAATTAGGTTGCGTTGGATTTGTCACTTCCTAACAGACAGCCGGTTTCGTTGTGGAATGTATTGCACGCAAACGCAAATCACTATAGAGATGGTCTCACTTCAACTTTAGAATGTACGCTACTTAGCTACTCATCGTCTCGCGTTTGATACACACGAAAATCACAATGTGCACTTGCGATCAATGGAGGGCCTCGCTGACTGTCCTGAGCCCTGACAGGACGATGGGATGCCAGGAGGTAGGGTATTGAGTCCAAGTTCTACATATACTACTGTGTACCTAGTTGCGAGATTGCATACACCGGGTCCAGGAGTGGGTTTAGTGGTGTGGCGTACATGACCGAGAAGCAGTCATCGAGTGCTGACAAGGAGATGACCCTCGTGCACCAGATTTCTGGCGTCTAGCGTCATCTTCTGAAAAGGGATGACGTGCTCGGTTCGGTGGCTGACTACTGCGTCTACGGAGAGGCGACATCATGGACTGTCGACATGAGGCTGGAACGGTCGTCGCAGTTTCCATGGAAGGTGGCGTGAGGACGGAGGACATGCAGAGAGAAGCTACTTGTGTTGTTGAGGAGGTGAGTCATGCTTAAGGTACCGTCAGCAAGGTGACCGATGTGCCTAGACTCTCCTCAGTCGTATATTTTCCCTAAAGCACTCAAGTGGAATAATTCATCCGACTTTACATTTTGAAGTTTGTTGTATTATACTACTAAGCTGCCACTATCCCTAAATCTACAAGACGTTATCAACGAACCCCAGCAATACTCGACCCATAATGCTTTTAAGAGGGTACACGACAATTTGGTGGAGAAGCAGGGTATTACTTCCAGTTCAAGAACGTCTCGTGTCTACGGCGTGTTGGTTCCTGAACTATATGAAGTCCGTGTGATTTAGGACGGCGTCCTCTTGTGAGTACGAATCGGAGTCTGAGTCCTATCTCACAGGGACGCAAGTTCAAGCTCAGGGACAGTATTGGTAGTCGCGCCGAGCCGTCACGCCTCTGCTTCCTGCTACAGGTAGCGAGTGTCCAGTTTCCCCGGCTGCTCCATTTGGTGTTGAATCATCTATGGTCTCAGCACAAACGCGCGCAACGACTCCCAGTGAAACCGGTGGCATCCGTGGTGCACTCCAGCAAGCGTTGGGAAAAGTTACTCGGACCGTGACCGTGACTGGTGTTGAATCCGGTTCAGGTGCTGGTGCGGCAGAAGTGGTTCCTGCAACTACGACTGGACGTCGGTTAATGTCACGATCATAGAAGCTACAGGGACTGGTGGTGGACCGGGCGGAACCGGACCCACAAATTAAGATTGGTCCAGGGCTGCAGACCCCACATTTGGGGGCGCAGCAGACGGCCAACGTACAGCAGCCTAGTGAAGGCGCTGGTCCTGCAACTGGAACTGTGTAGACCTATTCTCAGCAGACTCCTGTAGTACTCAATATGGGGTATCGGCTGGTCTCGCGGTAAGCCATAGACAGCAAGTGAGCTTTAATCAACTCTAACAGCAAGGCATCGAACACCAACAGCAGTATCTTGAGTTCCAACAGCGGGAATTTGCTACTTCTTTTCAGCTGCAGCAGTCGACTCTGCAGCAAAAAGCTAGACAATCCCAGAGTACGATTTCTACGAGTACTGCTTCAACTAGTACAGCTCCGACTAGTACTGCTCCTACGAGTCAGTCGCAGGCTCTGACTGCGTCGCAACTCACAGGATGTCAAACGCACCGACCGTTCAGTCCTAAGCATGAACCGGAGACTCAAAATTGGTTCGCTACGTCTAGTTCTGGTCAGCAGTACGGTGCTCACAGACGTACCTTCCACGCGGATATTATTAGCAACCGAAGAACGAAGACCTGGAAGATCGATAGGGTGCGTACGGCTATGGCCGTAAACCACAATCAACGCTTCGTACTCCGAAAGCACGAACGCCTATGACGGCCATTGCGTCGAATGGTGGTTACTCTATGCTTGACTATGGTGCGGCGCACCGATTTGGTATCGGTGATCCATTTTATCAACCGTACTCCAGCGAGCGTTAGGCTCACCCACTCCATAAAGGCTCTGAGCCGGACTACGGCGCCTACCCAAAGGCTGAGTTCATTGCCTCGGTAGCTCCGATGTCTAAAGAATAGAAGCTGACACATTTTCAGTTCGGACTGCCTCCAAGCGTGAAGAATGCTATGCGAATGATTCAACAGTTCTATACTCAAGAAGCTACGGTGCCCCCCGATCGTTTTGGGACGCTTTCGAACGCGCTACTGTTGGATTAGCTGACGCGGTGCGGTTGAGTGGCTTTGGAGTACTGTTGAATGGTAAGACTGGCGAGGACTGGTGGATGTACTCACGTATCGATGACTTCGACACTTTGCGAATCAGATTCTACAATCAGTTCATCTGTCGGACGCCTCTGCAGATGATAGAACGGTTTAAGAATGCAAAGCGATCCAATGGGATGTCTGCTGAAGTGTGGGGGTCGCTCCCATCATCATTGATGGGTGTAGAATCTGGGACGAGCCATTAGTTGGGTGGCCCGTTGGACCAGAAGGATGCCACGTCTATGTCACATAAAATGACCCGGCAGTTGTTTTAGAAAATCGACCGAGCACATCGGATATGGACATTACTTGGGACTCGGATCAGGATTACGACGAATGTGTGTATTTCTACGAAGGCAGCGATCTCTACGCTAAAGATGCCGACGGCAACTAGCGGTACTGCCTGAAGTCCCAGCGACGACGGATGATGTGAGGATCGAGGATATCCAATTGTGCGGATCCAACAATCAGACGCCCGAAGAGATCGACCGACTCCGCCAACGGATCTGGAAGTTCAGACATCTCCTGATCGGCAAAGGAAATGCGCTCCCACCAGCGGCCCGAGGGGTTGTGTGTGATATTGATGCGGGAGGAGTTCGGCCCATCGTGCTTAAGTGTCGAGCGCTGCGGATCCAGTTCCGAGTGAAATTGGCAGCGTTGATCAAGGGTCTCCTGTCAGCTTAGATGATCAGCCACTCAAGATCTCCATGGGCATCGCCGATCGTCGTGATCGTCAAGAAGAATGGTGTGGATATACGATTGTGCATTGATTATCGTTTGGTTAACAGTCTTACACAGCTGATGGTTTACCTTATGCCGCTGATCAACGACGTACCGGAGGATCTGGTGTCTACATTATGGCATTGCTCACTGGATATGGCGAGCGGATTCTGGGTGGTGAAGATGACGGATTGGGCCCGCCTGATCTCGGACTTTGTAAACCCCATTTGGACTTTTCGAGTGGAATCGGATGCTTTTTGGGTTGAAGAATGCGCCGCAGATCTAACAGCGGATGATCGACAACGCCCAGTATAGGTTCACTTGGATCCCGAAGATGGCAGGTGATCTGGAGCATCTGGACGTATTCGAGAACCTGAGGATCCGGGTAAACCATCGGGGTTAGGACGCAGATCCTGTATCGACGACATCCTAGTGCCAGCGGAAAACTGGGATCAGCTATATAACCGAGGCGAAGATCTCCTGGAGGCGTGCGACAAATGGAACTTGTCGATTAGAGTTGTCAAGGGTTTCTGGGGCATGCCCAAGATTTAATATCACGGTCACAAGGTATCGCACGGTGGACTGGAGGTAAATCCGAAGGATCTGTCGGCGCTGACAGATCTCGAGTTTCCCGGATCCCTGCGTGCCATGCAATCCTTTTTGGGCTGCCTGAACTATTACAGTCGCTTCATCGAGGAACATGCGATTTACGCGTCTGTGCTGTATGAGTTGAGGGAGATCGACTATGCTGCGATGAGGAAGGGCATGAATCGAAGCCGGATCCAGCTAGCACTAGCGTCGGAGTCCCCGGATCCAGACATGTTGACTAAGGATTCGGCAAGTCCACGACACTCGTATCCGGATCCACGGAGTCCAGATCCCGAACTTAGTGAGCAAAATCCAAACCTAGTGGCACAGGATCCGATGCATGATTGCGGGAAGGTGTCGAACCCCGAGAAGGACATTCTTGCGGATCTGGATCCCCGGTGGATACATGGTTACAGGTCTTTTAAGGTGCTAAAGGAGAAGATCGCGAAGACGCCGATCCTGGCACTTCGATTCGGATCGACAAGCTGTGGTGGTTGTGTATGCGAGTGATTGGGCGACCTCCGATGCATTGATGCAAGAATAGGATCATGTTTACTATCTAGTGATGTTCGCGAGCCGTACGTTGAAGTTCAATGAATTAAACTATGGGATCGCAGAGAAAGAGGTGTTAGCATTGTTGCGGATCCTGGATCTCAACTATAATACTTTGGTTGGGAGACCGATCCGAGTGCTGACGCGATATTCCACGCTGGCCTCGTTGTTAAGATCCAATGCATTACAAGGACGCCTGAGCCAGTGGGTCGCGCAACGTTCACCCTGGATACTCGAGATGGTCAAGTGTAACAAGGGCGAGGACGAGGTCCTGAGCACATTAGCAGCCAGGATCCCACCCTGACCCGAAGGTCCAGTCGTAGTTGCAGGAACCACTTCTGCCGCACCAGCACCTGAA